TCTCGCCCTTCACGACATCGATTTACTAGAATTGCTCATTTGCTAATTAGCTGCTTCGGGCATGCTGTCTTTGTTTAGTCTCCACTTCATTATTTTTCTTATTTCAAGTATAGACTAATTTTTTTGCTAATTTTACTAGTTTAAAGAACGATAAAGTATTTGTAGCATTCAATCTTTCAATAAGTTCATTTCTGCTAGTTCCATATTATGTTTATTTGATCCTTTGTCAACTAACAATGACACTGACACTATCATAAATTCCAGTATTCCAAATTCACTTCGTGACATTGACACTATCATGAATTTCACTATTCCAAATTCACTTTGCATATTAATAACTAAATTCCATCATATTTGAAGTTATACAGCCTAAATTGTGATTAATTATACCTTTGTCCTTTACTGTTCCATAATCTCTTTCATTCCAAGACATGTTTTTTCGCAGTATCATTGCTAACTTTTTTTAAACTTTTAAAATTTTTATCAATTTACTCAAAACATTTAGTTCTGCTGCATTAAATTATTCTTGCCTGCCTTTTGTTTATCCTTTCCTTTTTTTTCCACCGTTTTAAATTCATTTTTCTTTCCACTGTTCCCTCAAAACATTAATTATTATCTTTTACTCGACTTAGTATTTTAATTCCAGTAAATACCAATTATCATAATTGCCATCATTTCATTTTTCAAACCTTTAATTTATAAAAATAAAAAAATTCCAACTCAAAAAATGCCAGTAATTTTTTCCCTTCTTTCATCATTTTCATCCTTTGATATATTTGACAACATAACTGATATTATCACCTAGTTATTATCACCTATTGCCACTTGAGTTTTTGGAGTGATTATTATCACTTAGTTCTCATTAATTTGTTTCAGTTGCTTCTTGCATATTAGTACCACATTAATCACTCATATTTATTCCGTTGTTTATTTATTTCAATGCTCTATTTGTTTATTAGTTCATTCTAACATACAATCTTTCCTATGTACTAATTAAATTCCAACCGTTTTCAACAATCTTTTATTTATATCAGCCTCCTAAATTTGTTTTATTAATTTCATATCATTTAAATTTTTATTCATTTACTCAGTTCACAGTTCACTTATTGTCTCAAATTATTTTTTGTGCATAGTTTGATAGTTACTTAATTAAGGAATCTATCCTGAGGAAATATTCTATAACGTATTTGTCGACAGTATAGTTCGACTGAAATCTGAAAATTCCATTGTACAACTTTCCTTAAACCATACAAAAAATTGAAAAATAAAAATTTTTGAACGAAGAATTTCTTTTTATGGGTGATATTGATTAGAAAGACTAAATAGTTTCACGAGTCAATGAATGGAACAATTATTTGATCATATCATAAAATGGGTTATATTGTAAGTTATCACATTTGTTCGACTGCTAAAATTTCAATCAATTTCAGGCTAATTTTTGTTCAGGAACTTGTACAAATATTTCGCGCAATTTCTCTTTCAGGTCTTTAGATCTGAAAGAAAAATGGCGCAAAATGGCAAAAATAATTTTATAGAAATCTTTCGTTTTTTTTTCTAACTCGAAAAAAAAAAAGAAAGAAACAACATACTTTCGTTATTAATTTTTGCTCCCTTCCTTCGCAGTTAAATTTTTTCGCTTTTTTTTGTTTTTTTTTTAAAAAAAAGGGAAAAAACGAAAGATTTCCATAAAATTATATTAGTTAATGTTTTCAGGAAAAAGAAAAATGTATCCTTAATTTTAGTTTCCAATGACACTTTGCAATATTATGTTTCGTTATTATTTCAAATCTATTTTAAAAATACATTTCTGCAAATAGCATTACAATTTTATTTGATTATTTTCCAAAAAATTTCGTTCCTTTTTATTTGATCAAACAGGTTATCATTTATTAAAATTCATTTTTAGTAATTGTTTGTGATAATTACGCTTAGTCTTACAATAATGGCATATGTATTGAAGTAAAATTTTTAAAGCAATATAATGCAAAAAAAAAAAAGGAAGAAAAGAAGCATTTTGCGAGGTTTTTTTTTCCTTTTTAGTTGACAAATTTTGAATGGGCGAAGAAATTGTGATTATGAGAAAATGAAACAAATATAAGCTACAAAATTGAAAACGGTAAAGCATATCATAGTGACAATTTGGCGACACTTGAGCTGTTAATACTTTAAAAATGTAATTTGGACGAAAATTGTCATGCATTCGAATGAATTTGAAGAAGTTTTAGCTAATCAATCAAACTTTTTCTCGTAAAATTTTCAATTTTGATTTTTTTTTAAAGAAAAAATAGAAATTGAAAAATGCATACATGAAAAAAAATAATAATAAAACAAATAATTTTACGCCCACGAAGATGAAAATTAAATTGGGAAATATTTCAACTATTAAGCAAACAAATCCACAAGCATCAAATTTTTCTCCATACAAAAAAGTTAGCTAAAAACTTTCTTATCAGTCATTTATTTTCAATGCATAAATGAGGCAAGCATAATAATCACTAAAATGATATTTTGGAAATAAAATGGAAAATTTTTCTTTTCTTTGTGTTGTCTTACTTAATCATTTTAATAATTAAATTATTTTGCTTTAATTTTAATTACAATTTTAGTCACGAATGTGTAAAATTCTTTCGCAATTTCACATTTTATTATTCAAATATTAAAATAGAATTCACAAAATAATTTTGTTGACTTGATTTATTTTTGAAATTGAAGCATGCTGAATACATTAAATGAAGTATTTTTCGCGTTTTATTTTTCATTATTTCTTTTTTTTTTCCATTTCCTTCACTTTCTTTCCGGAATAATAAATTTTTTTAAAATAATGATAGTAAATATCAATTAAAATAGTGAATATTAAACCGAAAAAAAAGTTTATTTTTGATGTAACAAATTTCTATTTCATGGAAATAATGAAACACTTAAAAGAATGTGAGAAATGAAAAAAGAAAAAAAACAAAAAATATATAAATATCTTTTCTTTTTTCTTTTTTAAAATTTTTTTTTTTCTTGAAATTATATTAAATGGGATATATTAATACAATACTGCATTAAGTTAGCATATTTTTCATACAAATTTTTTAATTCAAACTTATTTTACTTTAGTTCGTTCAATCCTTCAATGAATGGCTAATTATTACTTTTCAATATTCGCCTTAATCATTGGTTGAAAATTTATGCACAATAATAAATTTGATGCTGCTCTTTCTTAGGAGTATATAAAAAAAAAAAAAAGAAGAAAAAGAGAAGGAGAGAAAAAAAAATAGGATGCTATAAATTACAACAAAATTAATTAATAATATTTGCCAAGAAGCATAATACAAATATTTACTTTTAAATAATCATAATAAACCACTTAAATATCTGTGCATTTCAATTATTAAAACATAAAAATATGATTAAAAAAATTCATGCTATTTGAAATTTCTAAAAAAAAAGGTGATAAAAACCAGTAAAATTAATGATTGCTAATTTGCCAAATTTTGCTTTGTTAAAAATTGATCGCTTCAAATTATTTTATTTCATTTCCGCTTTATAATGATTTAATTACTATCTCAGATTCTAATAATATTAATTCTAATCAAAATCAAATATTCATTATTGTTTAAATGGATAATACGACACTGTCAAATGATGAAACAGAATGCGAAGAACATCCACCTCTTTTTCTAGTTGGTTGTTTAATTTCGTTTTAATTATTACTTTATTAAGTCTAAATAAAAAAGGGAAAAAAGCACCTAAAATTAGTGTAATTAATAAACTTTAGTTTTGTAAATTGAAAAAAATGGTGCAAATTTTGCAAGCTACTATCAATGTCATACAATAAAATAAAATAATTTGTTATTTAAGGGCTTTAAAATGATATTGGTAGGAGTTATTGGTACAGTAATAGCGATAATTGGTTTTCTCGAGAATGCTTTGGTATTTTATACATTTGTAAGCTCGAGAGCATTACGAAATAAAAACTTATTATACCTTACATGTCTTAGCGCTTGTGATATATTTATTTGCTTTTCATATATCAAAATTATGTCAATACAGGTAGTTTTTTTAATTGATTAGAAAAAAGTGGTTTGAAGAAATTATTTAAAAACTATAAATTATATGAAGTTATACTTCATTTCTTATTATTTCTGTAATCTACGGAAAAATAAAATGAAAAAAATTGGCAGAAATGTTAATGATGATTATTTATTTTTTTTGCACTTAATTTATTAAAATGTTGGAATTCAAATTGCGAAAATATTTAATATTTTAATTAAAAAAAGAAACAAAAAACTAAATCCCAATTTCAATTTAGATATATGCTGAGTATTTTCATTATTTCCCGCTATTTCGTCTTTGGCATAATTATTTAAGGGTGACATTTGCAATTTCACATATTGCAATATGTACCGTATCATTCCTTATTATGGCTGCTGCATTTGAACGATATCTTCAAAATGGCACCAGCAAAAGTTAAGTAAAAGAAAAAAACAATTTTAGAAATTTTCAAGAGCTAAAGAGTAATTAATTTTGAAATATGTTTATGAAAACAAAGAAAAAAAAAACAATTCTTTCTCTTTTTTCTAGAACAATAATGATATTTCAATTTTTTTGTCGTCATCGTGGAAAAATTGTCATTATGGCATTTCTTTTTGGTGTTTTATTTCGTGGTACCATTTATTTTGAAATACAGGCAAGTTATTATACCATAAAATAACAGTAATTTCGATTAATATATTTTAAAATATTTAATATTTTTATATTTTTCATTTTTAATAAATTATTAATGATACTAATGATTGTTTCATGAAAAATGATCCATTTTATAACATTCCAAAGTATGATTTATATATTTCATTATCATATTATGTCATATTTTTACATCCAAGGAATTAAATTTAAGGATACCTTCTTTTTCTTTTAAGGAAAAAAAAACTTATTGCGTTTATCATATTAAGTTTTTTTCTTTTTTTTTAATTTTCATGATTTTCAATTCAGAAGATTTCCATACATTTCAGGTTTATCATTTGGAAGAATGCAAAGGATTTGCAAGTATGGGAGTAAAAATTAGTGAGCTTGCTCGTAATGTTTACTATGATGGAATATGGCGTTTTTGGACTAGACGTATCGCTACCGTATTTTTGCCATTTTTTGTTTTATTATATTGTAATGCAGCCATTGTGATCAATTTACGGAAAAATAATCGCGAAAATACGATTAGAATACTGATATTATATTGCATATTTGGAATTTCGTAAGTTTTACTGATAAAAGCATTACTTAGTGACTAATCAAGAATTATTAAAAATATAAAATATCTAAAATATTGTAAATATTTTATGATGTTAGCTATCTCATAAATCATTCATTCGCCATATATATAAGTATCAAT